GACATGCAAAAGCACTCCGTGCATGTTAAGATTTTTTCCATGTTGATGTCTTTTTTCGGTTGGTGCATGATTAGTAGCAGGTGTTGATGTATTATCATCCATTATTTCATCTTGTTCCTGGATACTTTCCCGCGCTGCCACGACAACAGAATGTCGCGTTGCCGCCGGATGTACGTATATTTCCTCCAATGGTTGCACCACGTCCTTATCAATTTCAATCGACTGAGGGGTGTCATTTGCATGACTATGTTCTAAAATTGGAATAACTTCTCATTCACTACCATTATCACGAGATATTCTGAGCATTTTCCTAGATTGGGAACAACCTACCATGAAACAATAAAATTCCTATGATATTGGAAACAAGTCCGGCGCATCCCACGAAAAAAATCAATTTGGGGTTCTTAATTTCTAGTAAGTCAGGTCGGAAAAAAATAAATTCCAATCAGATAGATCGGAAATGCGAAGTGAGCATGAAAGCACAATAACAAACCTTCAAACTCAAAAAATCTTTGTATGGCATTAATGATCACACTAAAACATAAAGCAAGTAAGAACACCCCATTTATAAGTGCACCCAATACTTCGGCGCGTTGCCAACCATAGGAATATCTCGAAGAAAATTTTGTTTGAGAAGCAAGCTTTTATGAAGTGTGAATCAATATCATTAGTGCTTCACGCATAAAAATGGATAAAAAAAAACCCCCCCTTGTAAAAGATGAGTACCTTGATAGCATATAATGCTACTATTAAACTCATGATATCATTTAGCATGTGAAAAGAATCTGCCACCAGTGCCAACGATCCAGACCAATAACCAACGATGATCTCAGCAAGAAAGAATATCACATCGAGTGTTAACAATATGAAAATACGAGTCTGACGCGACAGCATCTCGTAAGAGTAATGCAAATTAATCCTTTTAAAAAGTATTATATTCTCGAATAGCTATTTGTTTCCAGACAAGGAAAAGAATAAATATGGAGTTCTTATTCTTATAGGCATTGTGTTATAATAAATATGGCGAAGATTAAGCGGTGGAAGGTTTGGTTGAACAGGAGATCATTTCGGATACACCAAATATAAGCTCATTTGCCTATTAACCTAATTAACGCGAGACGCGTGAACTTTATAATAATCATACTATTGTTATTTTATACTAAATCTTACATAATGTACACGTACACACATTCTCCTATTTAAAACGGATTCTCTATTCTATTGTACTAATACAGTATATGCACACTGCACATTACTAAATTCGATTCCATGCGTAACTTATAAATATACAGTATATACTTCGATCCGATCACTTTTACAGTTCAAAAGAACTACTTTTGGCCTAAAGAGCTTAAATGCCTTTATTAAGATAGTAAAGAAGTTAATAATAAAGCTTAAATTCCTTTATTAAGATAGTAAAAAAGTTAATAATAAAACTATTAATAACTTTTTATAATACTTAGTTTTCGAAAGCTTATTACAAAGAACCCTCCCTAAATGCACATTCTCTCTAAATGCACTCTTTATTGTGGCGGACAATAATACTAAATGTACTCTCTATATTATTGACCGGAGTTAAAACAAAGTTGACCAGAATTAAGATAGTTTACTGGAATCAATGGAGATGGACAGGTTTTAAGGGAATGTATTTAAAAAGAATTCATATTTTGTTTTTCAAAATGCCATATCATTAGGGATCAGAATCGTATTATATATGCATCTCAAAAAAGTATACCTAGTCTTGTATATTATCTGGATTTCTCAAAGATAGTTCTGAATCTCTTGATGCAGTTAAGGTCTCAGGCACAGTACAGGATTATTACAATTTCTTTGCTTTGGTTATACTTTATTTGAAGAAGTGAAAGAGTTTATGTCAATAATTTCTTTTTCTTTTATCAATAATATTATTGAAACATATGAATATGACCAATAGAATCTTGTTACTAATATATTTCATATCAGCCAATCAAATTCTAGATAATATTATATTATTAAAATTTTAAAGTCAAATTGGAATAGGTAAAATCTTTCAAGAAAACTATAAAAATATATAGATATTTTAAGAAAGTAAAGAATATATATGTGTATAAAGAAAAATAAGTCTTATCTTGTTTAAAAAAATTATATTTCTATATTGCTTTAGCTCTAAAAGGTAATAATATTCTATTAGTTAATCTTTTTATTTCCTAAAATCTTCTTATCTTTAGTAAAAGAAATATATACTTGAGTCTATTTAAACTATTAAAGATTCAAGTTTTTGTTTAAAAGAGTTTATAAACAAATAGAAAATAATAAAAGTGATTCTTAAAAACAAACTTCAAATTGTTTTAAGAAAAGTATAAAGATCTTATTAATTAAAAAATACAAAAACTTCTTATGAATATCTTTTTTATATATTACAAAGACATAATTAAGATTCAGAAACTAAACACTACTAGTGATATAATAGAACTAAGATGGAACCAGTCTTTCATTAACTTTACCTTCAAAACAGTAGGGAAAAACACTTCTCAAAATCAAATAGACAAGAAAATAAAGAACTTTAAGATGTAATAAAAAATGGTTCTTAGGTTAGAAAGTTAAGGAAATAAATTAAAATATAACCATGCAAACATTAATACTATCCAAAATAATATTACTTCAAATTGATTATAAGGACTATAGAGACAAAACCTTCTAATAAAAAACATAACTAGATGAATATTCAACATTGACAAACATGAATATTTGAAAGTCATATCTATATAAGAGTCCAACTTGTATAATCTATAATAAACATTAAGAGAGAAATCTTTATTCCTTTACATATGAACCAAATAAAACAAGACTAAAAAAAAAGTACATAACCTTCTTCAAAAGAATATACTTCAAGAGCAAAAGGCAATAAATAAACAAAACGGATACAAAATAGATAAAAGCAAGTACTCAAATTATCAATACTAATAAGAAACACAGACAAGACAAACAAAATAAAATAAAATGAAAAAACATCATCAGAGAAGTAATTATCTATCAAATAATGAGAATAGCAAAAAAAATCATGAAAAATAAGAAGGCTGCAAAAACTGCAATGAAAATAGCTATAATATAGTTTTAATACAAGAAAAAAAAATGTGGAAGCTAAAATATAAATTGATAATCAAATGAAAAAAGTCATAGGTAGGGTCACAATTTTTATCTAAATCCAAATGATCTGCAGATTTAATCCGAATGGATCAGATCAGGTTTTATATTTTTTGATCTGTTTATATACAAATCGGATACGTATTTCAAATTTTGAAATCTGATCTGATCAGATTCTAAATTTTGTATCCGATCAGGTTTCAAGTTTTAAAATCTAGTCAGGTTCAAATAAAATTTGGCAGTTTAACTATATTTAAATGTAGCTATTTAAGGTA